CATCAAGCTGGACAAACATCGATCACAAGATAACCCAGAGCGGCCCGTGACCCCTTCACGGCCTAAACTCGTTGTCGGCATTTGTCGAGTAACGAGGCTTTCGTAACCTCCCCGTGACGTCGAGGTCGAAACTATCGCGTCAGCCATTCGTGAATGAGTATACACTCCCGGTGACACATACGGAGAGTGACGCATGAGACACATTCTAAGGAAGACAAAAAAAATAAATAAAAATCACAGTTGAAACGGTACCTTATGCAACCAATGCAAATTCAGCTGCTGGCCGAGAGCAACGTGACAAAGGGCTAAAACCTGGCAGAGGGAAAACACACACAAGAGTGGCTACAGGCTGCTGTCCGGGAAATATACCACGCAGAAGATGAAATATGGATATTTGTGGGAGGTACGAACCATTAAAAAGGCAATGTAGGTGAAGCCAGCAGCGGTGGTGGCCAAGACTGGAACGGTGCCATCGCTCCACTCGCCGGAGCGGTTGTAGAGGGACCTGCAGCAAAAAGACATTTTATAACAGTCGTATTGAGCGCTCGCCCGCATTTCTTCATTAACGTCCAGAGGGAAGCCTTCGGAACAAAAGCGGGCATGTTTTTGTTTTGCTGCCCGAGATCAAATTGTGCCAACCTCCGATCCCAAATGCGGCGCTTGCTTGCGCATCAACAGGTTGTGAGTGAAAATGAAAAGTGAAGATGTTGTTTACAAAAAGGTCTGAGGCTCACAGGCAGACATCGAGCAAATACCAAGCATATTGATGCATTATTGGTGCAATAAAGCCAGCACAGACGCCGCAAGGGAACGCGACCGTAGCGACCGCAGACAGCTTTTGGAATGTTAGATTAACACTTGCTTGAAAATTAACTTCAAGAAATAAAAAGTGCTGTCTTAGAGAAACGGAAATATGGACCCAAGTCCTCGAAGTGAGAAGACAACTACAATGTGTGTAGTTGCATGTACATCGTCGAAGGTGAGATGTGAAATAATGACCATGGATTACTGTATTTCTATTTCCATGAATTTCCCAATCGCATAACTGTTAAGACTTTGGGAGGTCGACCAGCATCCTAGAAATGATTTTGTCTAAGCTTATGTGCATCCACTGCATGTCCTTTTGATTCAAACACTCATCACAATGTCAGGCTAGTCAGGTGTCAGAGCTTCTGCATTGTCACTGATATGCGCAGCCCTCTGTAGATGGACCGAGACACTCCCTGCTGCTAAATCACCCTCACCGTTGTTATGCATGCGCCGCTCGAAGAAAAGCGGGCCTATTTTGCATTTCTTTTTTGAAGGCCCGTGATGCCGGCTCGAATAAAACATGGGTGTGAGCTCCTGATATGAGCGCACGTGTGGCACACAAAGAGAGACTGCGAGTGAAAGAAAGAAGGCTGATGGAAACAACAACAACACATGTTCAAGGGCAAGTGAAGGTTAGAAAGTAGGCAAAGAAGAGGACAGCTGAAGAGGCGTCAGACAATAAAGGGACGAGGTGACATGATGTCATTAACAATATCCCCAACATACACATCTTACGAGTACTGCAAACATCATTTACACATTGCCGCAAGTAACCGGAGACATAAACAATATGGCTTTGGCTCACCAGTTAAACTCATTGTAGTCATTGTGCGCTTCCAGCCAGAAGTAGAACCAGACCAGCAGAGCGCAGAAGGTAAAAAGCAGGACGAGGGACCACAGCAACTCCCACTACGAACACACACACACACACACAACAAAACACGCGAGGAATCAGTCGTAATGCAGTAGCAACTGAAATGATGAATTGGATGACGTTGCATGTTCCAAGCACTTCACAGCTCCGGTGTCGTCGGGGTCAGAGCTACTTAGAAGTTAACTTTCTTTGAAAAAAAAATGTGGGCTTAATTTTGAGCCCATCAGGTGAAGCGACCCAGCAACCTTTTTGCATCGCGTATTCCCTTACACACACACACACACACAACAAAACACGCGAGGAATCAGTCGTAATGCAGTAGCAACTGAAATGATGAATTGGATGACGTTGCATGTTCCAAGCACTTCACAGCTCCGGTGTCGTCGGGGTCAGAGCTACTTAGAAGTTAACTTTCTTTGAAAAAAAAATGTGGGCTTAATTTTGAGCCCATCAGGTGAAGCGACCCAGCAACCTTTTTGCATCGCGTATTCCCTTATTCACATTGCTCATTAAAACTTCCAATGTGGCTAATTACTGTCCCGCTCTTTCATGCACTTTCACATGAGGCAAATCCAAAGTATATGCGTTTGTCGTTAAAGACGGACGTATAAGGTGTATATTTGGTACCGAGCTGCAACAGTGGTGGTCGCAACATCAAACAAAAGAGCCTGCTTTGAAAATGTGATTGAAGCACGCTCTTCCTGTTTCCCGGCTCACTCAGCAACAGCGCAGGCTGAGCAGACGCGGCCTGCCCCTGGAACATCACATTACCATTTCTGCCTGGCTGGCATTTATCGCACCCTGTGACAGAGCGGCGATATAAATCCTTCGGAACATAAACTCTTTGCATCAGGCTGTCGACGAGACTTTGCTCCACATGACATCATTATTTAGATTAGCCCAAAGCTGCTCACCTTTATTCAGAAATTTAGAAGACGGTGAGTCAAGTCCTTGGCTTATTCAGAGCTTGATAAAAACAGATATTTTTTGCAATTTCATGCAACTATCTGAAGACAATTTGTCCTCGACAGATTGTGCCGCCGACAGTTCGAGCAGGTCAAGACTTCATTAACTTATAAAAGGAGACTAAGCTCCTCATTATCAGCAATGCAGTACGCGAGGGAATTGCGCGAACGGAGGGGCGCGTTGCTCGCCGCTTCAAGCGTCCATCTTGGCCGGAATTAACCTCTCAAAATCTTGTCACATTCCTGCGCGTTTCCAGATAACTCGCTGGAATTTCACACAGGGCGTACTACAATGCCCGCGATATCACCGGGACAAGCGAGAGTCAAGAGTGTGTGCGAGGAGAGCACTCAGGAGACCGAAAAGAATGTGTCCGCATGCTTGTCTGTTAAAAATGATAAGGTAGTACAAATTATGTCTATTTGAACAAGATTTCAAAGCAAGAAAAAAAAATTATTCAAAAAATTGCGTGCCTTCAGTCATTCAGACCTTGATTTTTGTGAAGATACGAACAAAGCAGCAATTTCAGTTGAGCTTTTTGGGTCAAAATGGACAAAGACAGGTGCTCTCGGTTCTGCTGTCGTCACCTCTAACAGAGGAAAATGACACCAGACCAGGAGCACAGTTGCTGCTTTTTCTAAAGCCCTTTTTTTTTCGTGTGTGTGTGTGTGTGTGTGTGTGTGTGTGTGTGTGTGTGTGTGTGTGTGTGTTGTGTGTGTGTGTGTGTGTGTGTGTGACTCATTTTTGAAGACTGGCAAAATGGAAATACTTTCAATTATTACTGAGCAGCGGATCAGCTTGCACTGTGTGACATGGGCCTGACACCTACAAAGCACCTTGAACACACACACATACACACGCACGTTCACACAAAAGCAGACTCACTGAGGACATAATGCTGACCTGAATGCGGGGGGTGGGGGGAGGAATGAAAAAAGGAAAACAAAAAAGGCAGAGCATCCTTTTGTGAGTTATGAATGCTTCTTCAACTGTCTCAGCATCAGATTCTCAGTTCTCACGCACCCCACGAGTCACTTAGGTCCAGTTACCGGAAACTGATTCTTTTTTTTTGTGGGGGGGGGGGGGCTTGTTCAAGATGCCGTTTCGACACTCCCGCTCACCGATAGCCTGTCTGACGTTGCTCACCATGGTCCAAGGAATGCTCAGGGTGTTTGTGCGAATGCTCAGATGGATGGCAAATTCGAGAGAACATTGGTCCCAGTGACAGCAAGTGTGATGAGTTTATCAGGAAAATGGTGCATCACATTTCTGTCCAAGCAGCTCAATATAATATGGCTAAAGTAGCACGATGTTTCATGATGACGGTTTCCTCCCACACACACACACACACACACACACACACACACACACACACACACACACACACACGCACACACACACACACACACACACACACAACAAAACACGCGAGGAATCAGTCGTAATGCAGTAGCAACTGAAATGATGAATTGGATGACGTTGCATGTTCCAAGCACTTCACAGCTCCGGTGTCGTCGGGGTCAGAGCTACTTAGAAGTTAACTTTCTTTGAAAAAAAAATGTGGGCTTAATTTTGAGCCCATCAGGTGAAGCGACCCAGCAACCTTTTTGCATCGCGTATTCCCTTATTCACATTGCTCATTAAAACTTCCAATGTGGCTAATTACTGTCCCGCTCTTTCATGCACTTTCACATGAGGCAAATCCAAAGTATATGCGTTTGTCGTTAAAGACGGACGTATAAGGTGTATATTTGGTACCGAGCTGCAACAGTGGTGGTCGCAACATCAAACAAAAGAGCCTGCTTTGAAAATGTGATTGAAGCACGCTCTTCCTGTTTCCCGGCTCACTCAGCAACAGCGCAGGCTGAGCAGACGCGGCCTGCCCCTGGAACATCACATTACCATTTCTGCCTGGCTGGCATTTATCGCACCCTGTGACAGAGCGGCGATATAAATCCTTCGGAACATAAACTCTTTGCATCAGGCTGTCGACGAGACTTTGCTCCACATGACATCATTATTTAGATTAGCCCAAAGCTGCTCACCTTTCTTCAGAAATTTAGAAGACGGTGAGTCAAGTCCTTGGCTTATTCAGAGCTTGATAAAAACAGATATTTTTTGCAATTTCATGCAACTATCTGAAGACAATTTGTCCTCGACAGATTGTGCCGCCGACAGTTCGAGCAGGTCAAGACTTCATTAACTTATAAAAGGAGACTAAGCTCCTCATTATCAGCAATGCAGTACGCGAGGGAATTGCGCGAACGGAGGGGCGCGTTGCTCGCCGCTTCAAGCGTCCATCTTGGCCGGAATTAACCTCTCAAAATCTTGTCACATTCCTGCGCGTTTCCAGATAACTCGCTGGAATTTCACACAGGGCGTACTACAATGCCCGCGATATCACCGGGACAAGCGAGAGTCAAGAGTGTGTGCGAGGAGAGCACTCAGGAGACCGAAAAGAATGTGTCCGCATGCTTGTCTGTTAAAAATGATAAGGTAGTACAAATTATGTCTATTTGAACAAGATTTCAAAGCAAGAAAAAAAAATTATTCAAAAAATTGCGTGCCTTCAGTCATTCAGACCTTGATTTTTGTGAAGATACGAACAAAGCAGCAATTTCAGTTGAGCTTTTTGGGTCAAAATGGACAAAGACAGGTGCTCTCGGTTCTGCTGTCGTCACCTCTAACAGAGGAAAATGACACCAGACCAGGAGCACAGTTGCTGCTTTTTCTAAAGCCCTTTTTTTTTTGTTTGTGTGTGTGTGTGTGTGTGTGTGTGTGTGTGTGTGTGTGTGTGTGTGTGTGTGTGTGTGTGACTCATTTTTGAAGACTGGCAAAATGGAAATACTTTCAATTATTACTGAGCAGCGGATCAGCTTGCACTGTGTGACATGGGCCTGACACCTACAAAGCACCTTGAACACACACACATACACACGCACGTTCACACAAAAGCAGACTCACTGAGGACATAATGCTGACCTGAATGCGGGGGGTGGGGGGAGGAATGAAAAAAGGAAAACAAAAAAGGCAGAGCATCCTTTTGTGAGTTATGAATGCTTCTTCAACTGTCTCAGCATCAGATTCTCAGTTCTCACGCACCCCACGAGTCACTTAGGTCCAGTTACCGGAAACTGATGCGCCTTCTTGATTGGTCTTCGTTTATTTTTGGGGG